TGAGAAATATGAAATTTTAACTTGATATAAAAATTGACTATATTATTAATATATAATTTAATTTTTTAATAATACTTATGTATCTTTTTTAATATCTTCTATAAATGTTGAAACAATACCGTAAAGAACAGAGCTGAAACAAAATCAGAAAGTAATTATTAAAAATTTTTTTTTTTTATAAAAAGAGATGTAAATATTTTGCAATTCGATACACAATGTAATAATATTGAATACATAATAATTTACTTTGAAGCACTTATGTATTCACAATAAAAATAAAAAAAAGTTTAAATAAATTTACTATTTAGAAGATTCTTCCGAATCAATCACTCCTAATTCTTCTAATAATTGTGATCTTGATAATGGTTCTCTATCTAAACCACATTCTGAAAATGTTAATTTATTTAATATTATTAAAAAATATTATAATTAAAAAATTGCATTATAATTTAATAAAAAAAAAATACCTTGAATGAAAACAGATTTTGCATACTGGTATCCGCTCCAATTTAGATATTCTCTAATCAATTCGTTTAAAATAACTAATTCCTTTGATAACTTTGGTTTACTATTATTATCTTGATTTCTTAATATTTCCATTAATTTTGTTCTCATTTTTGCTTTGAATTTTCCTAACGTTCCATCAGATTCTAAAGTTTCTTCGATGGCTACAAATAATGTTTTAACAAAGTTGATTAATTTTAATTAATTTAAAATCAACGTGTTTTATTAAAACAATTTCTATTTGTTTATTTTAAAATGTGCATCAAAAAAATATTTATTGTTTAAAATTAAAAAATGTTACAATATAATACGTTGAACTCATAAAAAATTGTTAAATTACCTAAAATTAAATCATTTTCAGTTGACATAATAACTCATAAAATTTTATTTTGTTTTTATTTTGACGTGTCAATAGAAAAATTTCGGTTAAATGGAAAGCAAACAGGTTATTTATATATTTTTTCAAATTTATTTTAAAACTAATTCGCTTATTTTTTTTTTTTTTTATTGATTTAAGTTGTAAGTAATAAATAAAATGCATAAATACTTTTTGTGACGCATGTTTTTTTTTTGTTTTCATTGATAAAATTGTTATTTAATTCGTAATTTATATGAAATTATTTACCATGGTAAGCTACAGTAATTATTTTATAATTACATTTATGAATTTTTATGTTTTACTAAAAATTTTATTTAAAATTCAGTTTAAAACTGATAAATATTCACTATTATGAAACTTTTTATTTCTACTGTTTTATGTATTGTCTTAATAAAAGAAATTAATAAGTAATAACTCATATTTAATTAAATTGTTATTTTTGTAATGATAATAATTTAATAAAGGGAATAAAAATATTGAATAAAATTTTAAATAGGAAACTTTTTTTTGTTTAACTTGAGACTACTTTTTATTTTATTATTATTTATATATTGAAAAACAAATAAATTAGTGTAAAAGACAATTATACAATATTTATTATAATTTAAAAATTACACAAAATAATATATAAAAATATAAAATATGCATACATACATTTATATATTTGTTTAAAAACTCTAAAAAGATTACAAATAATGATATAAATATTGTTTAAAATGATTTTTTAAAATGTCATACAAACTACAATTAAATAAAAAAAAAATAATAAAAAAATTAATATTAATTATACATCAGTGATAACTTAAAAATTATTAATAATAATAATAAAATTACATTAATTATTTATTTATTAATTTAAAACTATATAAATGGTGGTAGCAAATTAAATTTTTTAAAAATTTTATTGCTTTTTAATTATTTATTAAAAATTATTTATCTATATTTTTTATTAAAAAACAATTCGATTGATTCATCTCTTGATTCTGTTGACCTTGCCTATAATTAATATGTTTAAAATAAATTATAATTAATAATAATAATTAAAATAATTAATTTTTTTTTTGTAACGAAATCCAAAAAAGAAATTTTGATGACTTTATATTTACCATACGAATTTGGTTTTGAAGTTGAATGTCATGATAAGCAGTTATTGTTGAAGATTTGCCTCGTCCTCTATTTCTTAATGTTTTGTCTTCTGGAATTATTTCAACTGGTTCACCCTAAAAAGTGACAAGACAATCATTAAATAAAAACCAAAAATGTGATAGGCAACTACTCATAGAAGGCATAAACAAACAAAAACTTAAATTCTAATAATAATAATAATAAATACATTAAATGAAATAAATTACTTACAGTTCTCAAATCCAAAAATTGATTTGTAATATTATTATTACTATTATTTTCTTTTAAATTTTTATTATTATCGTCTAAATCATATTTATTGTAAGTATCACAAGAATTCAATTTCAAATAATTTTCCTTATCGGAATTTAAATTATTATCGAAGTTTTCCATTTTTCTGCTGCCAAAAAAAAAAAAAAATGATAACATTAATATAATAATGATAATAATAAATTTTAATTTGGAAAAATTTTCTTTTTAAAATTTACATTTTACTTAATTAATTTTTTAAAAAATAATAAAATAAATAATTTTTTAATGATAAAAATGAATAATATAATTTATTTGTGTTCTATTTTGATTTATAAGTAAAGTGAAAAATTACTTACAACAAGTCTCAACAACAACAACAAAAATAATTTTTTTATTTTTTGAACAATTAAGTCAATAAAAAATGTTTTATTTAAATAAATTTTGTTTAATTGTAAAAGCTACAAATACAATTATATAAATTGATAATAATTTTGTGGATTAATCGGAGAAAAATTTTTTTGTTAATAATTTTTTTTTTTTTTTTTGTTAATTAAATTTAATAATCACCGTAATAATAATCATTAATGTAGTTTGCCAAAGTTTTTTTTTTTTTTTTTGATGCAATTTATTAAGAACATAAAACTATATTGAATTCATTAAACACTAAATTATTAAAATTATTTTTTTTTAGGATTCATTCTAAATTATTAATTTATTGAAAATCAAATGGGTAAAAATTTATTTATTGATTATTTTTAATAGTTTAGCTAAATAATGATTTACTTGAAAAAAAAGTTTGACGTTTTATTAGATAATAGAAAATAATTACTTTGAGTAAATTTTTCAATGATATATTTATAAATTTTTAAACAAAAAATCAAGTTTACTAAAACTTACTTTAAACTAAATTTTTTTAATTACTGTCGGAACAGTGACAAGATAATTTAAAAAATAAATTAAAAAATAATTGTAATGAAACTGATTTACTTTTTGAATACTTTTGACATTGATGATATTATTTTTGAATTGTATGTAAATATATTTATTGTTTGGAAGTTATTTAAATTAAAAAGTTTTAAATGAATAAAAATGGTTTTTATAATAACCTACCTCAAATAATAAATAAATAAATGCCTAAGAAAATAAAATTTTAGGTAGACAAAAAAATTATTGTTTGTTGCATTAAAATATAAAATTATTATAAATTAAAATTAATGTTAACTGTAAAAGCTTTCCGTTACATTGTATTTTGTTTATATTTTTTGTCGTGGAACTAGATTATATTCATCTCATAAGGGAATTTAATACTTACATACTTAAATAATATTTTTTTATGTGTCAAATTAATTAAATTTCGTTATGTACGACGAAAAAGTAGATATTTTAAATCAGTATCAATTTATTTCTGATAAACTTCGAAAAAAGTTAGTTTTACTATTTTTTTTTTTTTTTCATTATTGTTATTATTGATAAGCTTTATTATTATAATTTTTATATAAATTTTTTTACTTACAGAAAAATATTAAAAAAACCTAACGTAGCTGAAGCTTCTCAACAATTTGGTAAGTAAATTTTTAATATCGAAATTATATATATATATAAAACATTGCATTGTTAGTTTAAATTAATGATAAATTAATTGAATTTTAAATGAAAGTTTTAAAAAATGAGTTTGACAGGTGTAGTCTTTTTGTTGCAGAAAATTTAGGAAAATTTTGTGAAAGAGAAGATTTGCCTGAATATGCTGGGTTAAATTATGAATCTGCTGCTAAATGTCAAAATTCTCTTGGAAACCATTCGGAAGAAGCTTTTCTCTATTTAAAATCTAGCAAACAATTCATGACGAGCTATTTAAAACAAAAAAATAATCAATTAGTATTAAATAATTCTTATTTAAATCATAGTTTAATTTCTTACAAAAATTGTTTGGAAAGGTAACATATAAAAGTTTTAATTTTATATTAAAAATCGATAAAACTTAATCATGTAAAAATTTTATTTTCTTAGATTGGAACAGAATAACGAATGCAGTAATTTGGTAAACAACATGATAATGGGGGGAATAACATTAAAAATGGGTCATGATTTACAAGAGAAAATTGAAGCTGTGGAAGAAAGTTGTCATGAATACAAAAAAGCTGTTCAATTATTTTCTAATTCTCCTGTGGAGAAAATTCAATGTCTCAACAAGCTTGTATCTTCCAAAATTAATTCAGGTACATTTATGAATAATAAAAATTTTTTTTTTTTGTTGTTGCTATCAGATTTTAACTCGAATATAATTTTTAAATAGGTGATTTTAGTGAAGCATTAAAATTAGTTGAAGATATAATAAGCATAGCTCAAACGATTCCAGCAAACAGTTTTAAGGAAAATTGTTTGTGTGAAGCGGAAATCACGAGAATTTTTTTACTTTTAATTTTACAACCAACTCCTCAGCAAATATCTCCTGCTGCAGCTTCAGCTTTAGAAAAATATGCATGGTTAGAAACATCCAGTACTAATGAAATAATTGATCTTCAAACCACTTTAAAAAATTATAATTTAACCATGATAAGCGAAGATTTATTTTTAAATCTTCAATCGTTAGTTATGGCATGTCAATACGGAGAAGAGGAAGTAGTTAAAGGTATTGAAATCGATTTGACGCCTTACTTAAATTTTGAACAAAAAATGCTTTTGTCAATATTAGTTAAAAGATATGGAAATAAAAATTAAAATTTATCGTTAAAATTTTGTTCATTTTATTATTCTTTATTGTTAAACGAAGTTGATTTAAGATTTTTAAATTCTATTTTATTTATTTATTAATTTTTTGTATTTCAAAAAAAAACTTTTCATTTATTTATTAAAATGTTTTGAAATTATTTTATTTTTATTTTATGCATTGATATCCCGATTATGATTAATACAAAAAAAATATAATAATTTTAATTTATAAAAAAAAGAAAAACTGTTTCAATGTTTTTTTACTTTATGAAAATTTAAATCATTTAAAAACCGATAGAATGCGTTGCGTGCAAACTTTACAAAAAAAAAAAAACGAAAGTCAGACTGATATTTAACTATTTGCACGTCAGTTATCTTTGTGCGGGTGAGAGTTTTATACCTCGGTATTGTCGCGTACGCTCGGCCGTTGTGATTTTGTTATATTTTACGGAATTATTCGAATTTTGGTGAGAAATTTTTAACTTTTTTTTTAATATAATCATAAGTTTTAAACAAATTTAAGTATTTTTATAGTGTAATAATTATTTCACGTCAATTATATGTAAGAAAGGTAAAATTTTCAAACGATCTTAAACAAAATCTCAGAAGAAAAAAAAAACGGGGAATTAGAAAATTTTTAACGTCTTTTTTTTGTTAATCCTCTATGCATACATATAAATAAATTATAAAAAAATAATTATTTATTAAAATTTTAAAAAGTATTATTTGTATTAACGTTAATTATTCTATATGATTGTTTAAGTATTAAAAAAAAAAAAAAAAACTTGGATTTTATATTACTGACGGTTATACAAAAAATTTTCACAAATGAAATTTAAAAGAAAAAATTTTTTTTTTGCATTCCCAAATTATTTTTTTGTCCGAGTAGGTTTTAGCTTTTTTTTTTTAAAAAAAAAAAAAGCATTAAATACACACATTGGAAAATTTTAAATTTGAAAACATTTGTAAAGAAAGAAAAAAAAGAAAAAAAAATTTAAATAATGTCTACACGCTCAACAACTCAATGCAAGGTATATAAATAACTGGTTTCCCATATTTATCCTCTAGATATGTAATAAAATCAAATAAATTTTTTTTTTTTTTTTAAATGTTGAGCAAGTTTTTAGTCAACAACAACAACAACAAACAACAAAACAACAAACTATTACTTTCAATGGTAATTTTTTTTTAAACTCACACACTCATATATTATTATTCATTTCTCAATTTTTTTTTCTTTTTTTTTCATTGCATTTTATTATTATTATTATTTAACAATTGTACCTTGTTTTATTATTACACTTGAAATTTATTTATTTATTTAAAATATAAAAATAAATAAACTACCATAATATTTATTTATTTTTTTTTAGTTAGGGTGAAAGAACTCAAATTATTATTAGAAAGTAGTTAGTTATCATTTTATACATTTTTAATTTGTTATTATTATTATTATTATTTACTTTTTTTATAACCTTGAATTTATTGCAAAGTAAAAAAAAGAAAAATTACTCATGTTCGTTAAAGAATTATTATTATTATTATAATTATTAGTAATAACAAAAACTCATGTTTTAAAATTATTAATTTTTTATATAAATTTTTCTGTCTCTCTCTCTCTCTCTCTCTCTTTAACTATTTCTAACGTGAATCTTTTTCCTTTCCTTTTTTCCTTTTTTAAATTAATTTGTGCTTTTTCGACACAATATAATTTAATTATATAGTAATTGAATTCCTTGTCCCTCAAAGACAAAACTGAAAAAGACAATAATAAAATTTCTACCAAAAAAAAAAAAGAAAAAAAAGCTACTAAAATTTCATGCAAAAAAAAAAAAAAATGGTTGACATCAAATTTTACTCACTCTTTCCTCCCCTCTACCCTCCCCTTCCCTCTCCTCCTCTCCTCCCTCCAAACGTTATAATTTTCTTTTTTTTTTTTTTAATAAGTAAAAAGATAGATAATTAAAGAAAAGTAATAAATATAGTTAGCGTGTAATAAAATGTCAATTATTTATATATGAGATTTTTTTTTTTTTCTATTAAATTTAATATATATTTGAGAGTCGTATTGTAAAAAAAAAAAGTAATTATTATTATTATTACTACCGAAGCAAAGTAATGTTTAAATTACTTTTGTAACGCTTCATGTAATTTCCAACAACAACGTTATTACTATTATTATTATTATTATTAGGTAGAGTAAATTAAATGGATTATATATATATAAATCAAATTGTGAAAAGTTTC